GTTTTAGGCTTCCAGAGGCTGAATCTGGGTAGTATTCCAAGTTCAAAAATTTTGGCTAGTCAGAGGCTGAATCTGGTACCATTTCAGTAATTGTTTTAGGATGACTGGGGGCTGAACCCAGTAAATCATGAGAGGGCTGTGTTTTGGGCTACCAAGGGCTGAACTTGGTTTCATCCACACACACTTTCAATTGGTTTTATGCTTCTAAAGGCCGAATCTGGATATTATTGCAAAACTTTGGCTAGCCAGAGGCTGTATCTGGTGCCATTTCAATGATTGTTTTATGCTTCTGGAGGCTGAATCCAGTTTTGTATTGAGAGTATATCTGAATTTAAGATGGGTTGTCTTTATGAATGAGGGACATGCGTGCTTTGAGAGACCTTGCTACTAATATGATTGGAAACGCCAAGACGCACACAAAATTGTCAAATAGCTACTCACCTATGTGTTAGTCCTAAACGACGAGGACGACGTTTAATAAGGTCCGGGATGACTGTCGGGACAGAAACCCTTACAAGGGTATCTGCCGGTGTTTTGACGGCTCGCGGGAAGGCGTCGTTCTATCCGTAAGCTGACAGGGCATTGGTGAGCAAGTAAGAGACAAAGTGAAGATAATCGCCACAGCGCGACAAAAGATTTCATGGGTATCCCAACCCCCTGTACATATTTACATTTCTTTTATTATCGGGTATTGACCCCGCGTCTGTCATTTCTAAATCAGTCACTCAGACTCTAGGGTTGGGCACCCAAGTGGTTGTAGAAAGGGCAGTTGACGCTACAAAGACATATCGTGGCGGAAGCTACTAAAGGAAGGAAGCCGCGGCGACATGGACGTTGGGGCTACCATTCCTTTTCGCCCCCTCCATCGAAGCAATGTGCGGCGGCCTAAACAAAAGGGGTGCCGCGCGGCCCATCGACCGCGCAAATCAGGGTCCATCGAAGAAAAAGACCAAACGTTAGAAACACTTGAAGCACGATTGCAAAAGGGGGGCGCTCGAATTAAAGGCCTATCCGAAAAGATTATTGAAGAGAACCTACCCTACCGCAATCCCTATAAAACTCAACCTCGCTCCTATGCCATGCCATTTAGCTAGACTAAAGTGAATGTCCAGGTAATATGAGAGGAAGCCGCGGAAATAGGCGCGTCGGGACCAAGCATCCCCCGACGATCCTACCACTAGGACAATGCGCGACAACCTAAAAAGAATGGGGTCGCGCGACCGATCGACCGCGCGATTCAGAGCTCGACGATTGAAAACGACCATGTCGCACAATGGCTCGGAGGCGGCGTAATAACGGGGAAAACATAGGGTTGGAGTTGAAAATTTATCTACGAAAACCTACCGGAGAAAACACACCCTACCTGAATTTCTATAGCCCTGACTCCGCGCCTACTACATACCTGCCTACCACACTAAGCTGCTAGGACCAGAGGGTGTGTGAGTGGTGTAAAAGGTGGGGGGGGATGCCACGGGGTTGTTGGCGTTGCGCCTGGCGCAGCCACTCATAGAGCAGCGGTGCCCCTCCCCACACAGAAATGAAGGCTAGCCCAGTCGGTTTGGGTGGCAGGCTGCTGAATAGAGGATGCAGGGATCAAACCCGCGCGCCTGCAACCAGGCTGGCTCCATTTTCGGGAAGCGGAGATGCGCCTGGCGCAGCCACTCACATAGAAGTGGTGCCCATACCTTTACAGAGGTAAGGGCTAGCCCAGTCGGTTTGGACGGCGGGCGGCTAAACACTCAACACCTCCGGCCGCTAGGCCAACTTCTTTTACAGGTGACAGGAAGGCAGGAATGCGCCCGATTCGAATAGAACGTGGTACGAACCCCGACGCGCGATCTTATAAAATCACGTAGCCGGAAATCCGCCTGAGCGGCAAAACTTTCGGCCCCTGCCCGATTACGGGCGGCTTCGATCTCTAGACAATGGGGTAGAAGGACCCCGTAACCATTGGGAGAAGGAATGTAAGGAGAAAGAAAACTCGATTAGCAGGTCCTCAGGGCGGGGATTCGAACTGCGGGCGGCGGGATGAAGGAAAGCGAAAAATCACGTTAAAGGAAGAAGTAACGAGAAAAGCATAAACAAAAACGATAAAAGGAAAACAAAACGGACGAAAATAAAACGAGACGAAAAATGACAAAAAGAGAAAAAAAAAAAAAAACAGACAAACTACGAGATGCCAGATGGCGCGTGGGAAAACGACGCGCGGAATTTTGATTCAGAAGGGCTACAACGCGACCCGTTTCAAACGGATCTCTGTTTTTTTTTTTTTTTCCTATTGTTTTCGTTGTTGTTTCCCTCCCTATCATTCGCGTTTTCCTATGGCCGCCCATATCAGTGGGAGTGTATCTCCCCGTGTTCTAGCAAAAGATTCACTCCCCTTTTGTACATTAGGTAGGGTTACGCCCTAAGGAAAAACAAGTGCCCCACGCCCATGCTATGAATGGATTCGAACCATCGCACATAGGATTAGCACAAGGGAAGGAGGCCGTGGCTACGGCTGGGGCAAAAATGGCCATGATGGCCCTCCCTTTGGCCTCAGCTGAGTCATTATGGCCACCCTGCAAACTCAGCACCCCCACGTTGGATCTTTCTGATCCTGGGGGTGGGGTTGAGTGTCGGGGAAAGGACAGCAACACATGGGGGTAGGACAGGAGGCAGCATAAGGGGATTCCCGTCATTGAGATCAAAGGATCTCGTGGCTGGGAACCCATCAAAGGGAGAGAGCGACTTAGGATGAATAGGGAACTAAGTCCATCTTTTCCCTCGACGTACCGGCACTGGGAAAAATAGCCATGTACATCAAACTTTAGGAATTCATAACTCCTAGAATAATTGTCAGAAAAATACAAGAAAAATTGTTTTAGAAATGAGATAGTGTCAGCCATCTCGTGAAAATTACGAGATGACTGATTGAACTAAACTGAATAGAAAAAAACAGGGGAAAAGGGGAATAGTCAAAGTCAGTCGCACTAAGTGTGCGGCTGCGGTGCGACGACGTCACACCGTCGATCTCACAAAAATCAAGGGAACAAGGTCATCTCGAATTATTGTCTAAGGGCTAGAGTGTCGAGGCACACTCTCCAACTCGACTATAAAAGCAGGCAATGCCCAGCAGTTGCCACACAAGGAGCACGTGTTGTAAGAGTGGTCACACACTCTAAGGCATTTGTGAGTTGCGGGAGTGCTTCGGGAGTGCTGCTGGGAGTCTACTAGAGGAGCTGTTGGAGCCAAGAGGAGAAGCAGGAGTCACCATAGCCACAAGGTGGAGGCACCTTGCCGACACATTGGGTTGGTACCGGACCTACGACACATGTGCTAGGGACCACTCCATTGGAACGGGAGCTCACCTCTAAGACTCAAGGGAGCGGCATTTTGGACTTAGCTTTGACCAAGGGTCGGGTTTTATTATTTTGAGCTTGGACGCGGCCGACGTAAGAGAGCGTGCTATCGGAATAATCAAGTGGCAAGGCTACGTCCACATGCGGAGGAGCTTTGCCGACCTTGTAGTACGAAGGCGTCAAGATAATTTTGTGAGATTGTCGTGGGGCCTCCATTGGACCTGGTTTTTTACACCACAGTGGTGCCTTTTATTTTGCGACCAAGGGTCTCGGGTTGCGTCGCGACAAGGCGACGGTACCACCCACCTGCTTGATTGGCGGTTCACGGCGGTAGCACCAATAAAATTGGTGTAGCATTCCAAGTGTGTCATCGCGGTCCGAGGGAGGTGCTGAGTGCGGCACATGCTCAAGGTGGACGACGGTGCAAACTTGAGGCGGTACGACGCAAGGGATTTTTTTGTAGCAAGAACAGCGCGAGTCCTTGACAATTTGGCGTGGTGGAACCTTTGGTATCAGTCCTTGGCACCATTGGGACCATTTGGGACTACGCCGCATCGACGGCCCTATTGATTGGACGTCCGACACCTTGGCGTAGAGGGATCTATCTTGAAGTGTGTTGGCAACCGTCATTACATTGGGCCCGGCGGGACCAATTTGGAACCACGGGTGCCACTCATCACTTGTGGGACTTGCCGGAGCAAGCAAGGACCTCTCAATAATTGTTGAGGTTCACGACGCTTGTGATTTTCTATTCAAAACATTTTGGAGCGTGGTTGGCGCTCAAGATTCGGCTTGGCTTTCTTGGGTGAGCCGGTCGGCATCAATGACACTTCACTCAAGGTCAGTTAATGACTCAGACCCCTCACTCCCCACGTGAAACCACACTTTGCTTGCCCGATTTCTATTTCCTTGAATATTCAGTTGAAAGAAAGAAAGGTTGGTTTGTGTGTGCTCAAATGTGAAAAGGGAAGTGTTGTCTGACCCCGGGTATTCCTGCCTACTCTCGGAATCTGTCTTGGCTTTGTACCTTGTTGCAGGCAATGTGAGAAAAAGTTTTGCATGTCCAATGAAGGCTAGGGTCTTGCGGGTCTAACGCTCCACCTATAAAATGCTTAAACGCTCCTTTGCTTTTTGGTTCGCAAGATCCTTGGTTGATTGAGGCTCATGAGGGAAGGATCTTGTCATTTATTATGCCTTCCTTTATTTGGCTAGGCGGTCTCCGCTTTGGGAATTCAACGATATGGGTCGTCCGTTATATTGCTATAAAACGATCCTCGCCTATTACCCACGACAAGAATTGTAGGACGCGGTGAAACGGGTCGACGGGGCTCCTCTATTTTCACCTTTCCTTCTTCAATTATCCTGCGCATAGGAAATAGCTCCAATAAGCATGCACCTAGCAGCGTCGTCTGGCTTGAGGGGCACCACGAAAGGATGGGTAGCTTACAACTCCCCTGGGCCTTGTGGGACTAAGCGGCGATAGAAATCGGCCTACATTTAGCCTGCACACGATTGACGTCGTTCTATATAAATAGCCCAGCTTCTTGTATACTTCACTTCACTACAAGGTTTTTGTCTTGCCGGTTCCCTTTCTAGGAGGACGACGGAAGTTGGTTCGTCGTGGCCTTTATCGCCTATCGTGCCAAACCTTGGCAAAAGGAGTGAGTCGGTCAGCCGAAGAAATGGGGACGTGGGTAGCAGACAACACGGGTGCCGCAAGAAGAGCTGCCTCGAGCAGTTCGCGACGAAGGGTGGCGACGGTCGCCACCATCATGCTGTTTCCAAGCAATACGGAGACAAGAGCGTCTGCTGTAGCCGTGGCAGGATTTAGGCAAGGATGGGCGAGAGTCGGCCGCATGGTCTTCCATTCCGCCGACGTCTTCCCGACCGAGGTGGAGCTCAAGGAAGACCAAGGAATCCTTGAGGACCCGCCACGGATTAATGCATTTGTGACAACGGCCATGAAGCTGGTACTGAGCGTTCGCGTCTGCCCCCTTAGGAAGACGCATCGGTTCAACATCGGGGTCGTCTACGACGTCTTGAACAAGTCTATCTACCGCAAGTTCGAGGACGAGATCATGTGGCTGTCCCTATGCATTATGCGGAACCACCACGCTCGGCAAGGACCATTCATATACATCGAGCATTACGATCGCGGTTGACCGTATGATGTCGGATTCCGTGTCACGGAGAGATGTGACGATCAGGCCCTTCAGCGGCAGGAGGAGAATTTGCTAAAGCTCTTTCGTATTTGATAATGGGTCTCTGTGGGATGGTTGGAACTCGGCGCGATCGAACGATCCCCAGGTATCTCCTGATTCGAGATACGATCGAGGCTGACCGCATCGCCTGGGCGGCGAGGATGTCGATAGCGTTCGATGGGACTCCGACTCGATGGCCTGGCTTCGTCGGAATCGTCAACGACGGACGTGGGTTTCTTCCGGAAGAGCGATCGGGTATTCGACCGAATGTGATTTGGTGTCCGAACGAGTTGCAAGGGCATACATTGTATTTCCATCGTGTCTCAAATATGGAGCTTGTCTCTCGAGTCACCGCTGGAGTACTCTTCAAACGATCCGAAGCGCGAATGGTGTTCCTTTGGCTTCGAGACACTTCCGCCCGACACCTTAAGCGCCTCGGTATACCTTTCTGGCCCGTCCTGTCGACATTGGCACGACGAATGGCGGAGCTCTACAGCACGAGCGACCTACAACTACGATGGCAAAGACGAGTGCGGAGGATGGCGATTAACGAGGCGTTCATCCAGCGGCATATCGGGCTAGATAGACGCGCTCGGACGACTCACACGCTTTACGGCCGCTAGGAGTCGTCCACCCTCTATAGGTCCCTCTTGAGTGGACCGTCCAGTGGAGGGTAGCGAGTTAGACTCCTACGATCGGATCATCAGGCTTCGCCCTCGAGAGGGCTAAAACATGATAAAACTCAGTAGTGCCGACCAAGAAAACATGGTCAGCCCGCCCCTATGAGTATCATTTTTCGCGACAAATTTCGCAGGCATTATGGTGAGGGGCGAAGGCGGCACATAGATCTTGTTCCTTTCCTTTGTATATATTTAAAATTGATGATCGTTCGCAATTAGGCGATAACCTCTGTACCAGGAGGGACACGAGTGGTTTGGATAACACGAAGTCACARGAAAAATAATAGAGAGTGTTTTTAGCATATCGCTACAACGTGGAGTTGCTTTTGYAAATTTGATTCAGTAAGTTTCTGTCTCTGCAAGTTGTGGCTGTCGACAGTATCGAGGAGGTGATCCTCTTGTCTGTTTTCATGTACATCAATTGTGGAACGCTCTTGAAAACTTTCCTTTCAATTTTATGAGATAGTGAAGACAAAGGCATGTTCCCTGTCATCGAATCTCTCATACCTGCAAAAGATTGTTGTTTCCGTCTTTGGGATGATTCGCTACCTGTATGTTGCATTTGTATGTCTTCGTTTGCAACCTCTATGTGCCTTGGCTGTCATGTATGTGCTTTTTGGTAACGACTTCAAAAATGTTTGGTTGTAGCGCTCATGTGTCTTAATGCGACATCTGTGCGTGACCTGATCACCACCCTCGCGTGGTTGTTAGCAAAGTCTATTTATGTCTTGGTTATTTACGTTCATATGTTTGATTCCGACGTCTGAATGTCTCATGTAACCCATATGTGTGTTTTCTGCTGCAATGACACTGTCTACCGGAAAGCGTCTTTATAAAAGACTAGGAGAGACTTCGATGGGATCATCCTATATTCACCTATAAGAATTGTCTGTACTACGGCGAAACGAGCAAAACGCCCTTGGCTGGTCTACCTCTGCGATTGCATGTAAAAGCTTTCATATGTAGATCAGTAGCTCGGTAGGGATACGCCTCTGAGGATGGTGACAGCTCCTCAGGGAAGACGAGTTGTGCCTCTCGAGACCCTGACCTGTCGTAGGGGAACGCGAGAAGTACGACTGGCGCACCCGGCTAGAGCGGCGAAACCCCGTCGTTCACCTCGATGAATTTTGGGGGAAGCATTCCGACTCTAAAAAGAAAAATATCGAACTCTTGCGTGATGCGGCCGGGAGGTGCCCCTTTTGTGCGTGACGGCGCGAAGGGGGTGGGGGCGTTGCGTCCGAGAGCGCGATCTGCCGTCATTTTCATATCTGGTTGGTCCGACGCCTCTGGACTCGATCGAATTTGTTTTTCCTTTATCGCCTAAACCTTTCACTGGTTCAGATTGTGGTCGCCGCATCCCACGCGACCTTTTTCTTGTTCTCTTCCAACCCTCCGGCCCTTGCGGCCGAAGACTCTTAAGTTTTATTAACCCTTTCCGGTTCTCGTATGCGTCGTATCAGTGCGTATGATTACCCAGAAACCTCGGCCTCAATGGTCGAGAAGTTCGCTTCGCGACGCCATGCCAAAAAAATTCTCACTTTTCACTCCAGACTGTCTTCGGCACGGCAACTGGCGTTGATACTATATCGAATGCAAAATCATGAGCAAATACCCTTGTAAGGGTGTTTGCTCCGACATCTCGATCCTCAATGTCGCGGCCACGGCTAAGTACAGGCCCTTCGGGCCTTCTGATCAACTACGTGCCGTTGCTGGTCACACACACACTTAAGCCCACGAGTACACAAACAAGTTCGTGGACCAACAAGCACGCTTATCCGCAGGGTTGCGGGTCACACCCTTACACGGTACGACAAACACTCAGACATGCGTACAAACCAGCAAGCATACACGCAGGCCGCTCGTCGGACTGAGCCTACTACTATATACATACTGAGTCGTTCCCCTCTTACTCGAAGTGGGAGCTAGCTCAGTAGGTTTCGGTAATGCTTAATAAGCAGGGGATGCGGGTATCGAGGCCGACTACCCTCTGAGCTATCTCCCTTTTGACACGGAGCTCTACTCTTGTTTGGTCGGATTTGGACCGTCGGGACTTGAACCCGCGACCTCGGATTTCGAAGTAGGTTAGAATTAGTTAGATACTGGTTGTCCTTGTCACGTGAATTCGACACTTGGCACACTAGGGAAGGGAGCAATAGTAGTTAGATTCAGTTAAAATTTGTTATTTTTCTTTATATTTTCTTTCATTTATTAATGTGTTCTTCATTTTATTTTATTCTCCTTATTTTATTATTTGTAATTTGTTTGTTTTTTCCTCGTCGAAAACTGCCCGATTTCGCGGGCAAATACGTTCCTGAGAGGCAAAACACTACCTCTATGGTGTGTCAAAGTCGGGACGGTCTGGCTCGCGGGCAGATCAAAGTCGTGTGGGCGCAACTTGCCTACGATCGCACAGGCGCAGACAGCGAGCCTATGCACCAAGGAGGAAGGCGGATGCCGAAACACGAAGAAGATGACCGCGCGTGGCGGGAACACAGTTGACTACGGATGGGCGGTCACATGGTCGACGATGAGCGAGAGGGCCGACGACACGTGCGAGGGTGTAAAAGAAAACGCGCAGAGGCAAAGAGGAGGATGCGCAACTAATGGAGATGGCAATAGGAAGAAGAGCGACACAACTCGGGGGTGAAGGAAGCAGTTTCGCACGCGAAGATTAAAGAAAGGGCGCGAGGGGATAGGACACTCGGTGAGTGAGGTCGCACGCGAAGAAGAAGAAGAAGAAGAAGAGGAAGAAAGAGACGAAGGAAAAGAGTGAGAGGTAAAGGAGATGGCCGCGCAGAAGGAGGAGGTGCGCGGAGGGAAGAAAGTGGTCGCATGGAAGAAGGAGGCGCACTGAGAAGAAGAAGAAGAAGTAGAAGGAAGAAGGAGAAAAGGAAGGAGAAGAAGAAGAAGAGGAAGAAGAAGAAGGAAAAGGGAATGAGGAGGAGAAGAACACTTACCTGACCGAGCGGTCAGACGACGACGGCGACGACGACGATACAGACGGCGACATCGAAGATGAAGATGAGAGAACAAATAAGTCTTCAATCGTGCGACTTACCTCACGGTACTTCCCTCGACAGGATGAGCAAAATCGAATGAATCGGGCACTAGAACATGGAAATGTGCACCGCCACGTGCGTGTGTGTGTGTGTGTGTGTGTGTGTGTGTGTGTGTGTGTGTGTGTGTGTGTGTGTGTGTGTGTGTGTGTGTGTGTGTGTGTGTGAGTAATAGAGAGAGAGAGTGGGAATATAGAATGGAAGAAGACGAACGTGTGGGCGATAAGAGGAAGAGTGGCGCAACACAGCGGGAGAAAGGTGGTGACGTGCGCAAATGAGGAAGAGTAGCGCAGCACAGCGGGAGGAAGATGGTGACGTGCGCAGATGAGGGAGTGAGCGCAAGAGAAAAGGAGGAAGACAGAAGAAGAGAAGGAGAAAGACGAAGGTGAAGACGACTATGACGAGACGAGTAAGACAAGATGGAGAAGAAGAGAAGAAGAACGGAGAAGAAGATGTGCGTGAGGATGAAAATGCTGTGGGCATGATACGCCGGTACAATCACAAGTTCAACAGCACCTATTGTCAACTGACATTAATTACGACCCGGCCAATTGCGTGCATTAACGGTAGTTTTTTTTAAATGAATGAATCGAGCCGACGAACCCGACCCGTTCATCCATTTTATTGTTATTGATCACGTGGACTTTTATTTATTTTATATTTATTTGTTATTATTATTATTATTATTATAATTATTATTATTATTATTATTACTATTATTACTATTATTATTATTATCAGGATTACCTGACTGAACGTTCGGGGCCCCCGGGCTGGCCCCCGAACGTTCGGGCGTTCGGGGTCCTGTTCGGGGGCCGAACACCTCCAGGTTCGGCCCCCGCCAAAAAATTATTCGGGGCCTAAAAATAAGTTTTGTTTTCTGAAGTTTTTTTTCTGAGTTCTCTATGATGTAGGCTACATGCCTATAAATTTTGAAGCCATTCTGCTAAGCCAAAACAAATTTAAAAATCGTCAAAGATGGGGGTGTTAAAACTTGCTCTCCCACTCACCATTTTTTTTTTTTCACTTTTAACTTTTTGTTTTCACTTTATTTCGAGGCTTAAAAAAAATTATTATTTTTTGATAAATTTTTAATGAGTAATTGATTATGTAAACTACACATCTGTAAATTTTGAGGGCATTTGTCGATGCCAAATAATAATTAAAAATCGGCAAAGATGGCGATGTCGAAAAGGTGCTGGCACACTCACTCATTTTAATTCTCTTTTTATTTTTTCTTATTTTTATCGTAGTGTTTATTTTCTGTATTTGATGTTTTATTCAAATTTGGTAAAGAATTTGGATGTAGTGCCC